TTCTGTCAACAAATTGTAAGTTTCAGTGGCAGATTTTCCAAGTTTTGTGAGGAATTTGATGTTAGCACGTTGTTCTGCATTAGCACTCAGCATTATTCCGACGGAGCTCAGAAACACGATCCGCTTCTAACAATGGTCGCGGCCAGACTAACCGATGCACGTGAATGAAACTTTGTGTGACGGTAGAGGGAAGTCCAAGGGTCAATGCCCTACCCTCCTCTTCGTCAATGACGTGGCCGGAAATGAGTCATAAAAGTAATCCGGTTTCTTTATTGCCACACCTTGTATTTATATGGCATATTGTATAAAAGACTTTCAATTGATACTTGTATATATATCTTACGAAATCAGCTTAATAAGGAATTAATGTCTAGTTGATGAATTGTACATGTTGGTTAAAGTATTGAATTGTATGATTCCTTTTATTAATATAGGTATAAGAGGACTAGTTTCTGTTCTCTGAACTAATATATGTAAATTGTGACATGTTCTATAACTGATGGCTTTGGTAGCCAATAAGGATCAATGGAAATGAAAATAAAGATACAAGATAACCTTAGATCAACAGGCCCCCACAAGCACAACAACATTTAACAGAATTGTAAAGACTTCAAAAAGACATGTTATATTACAGATTATAGGTTATTCTTTAGAAATGTTGCCATATTAAACTTCTTTTTTTGTTTACAAACCTCCACTATTTTCCATAATGAGATTTTTAAAATGTGTAGACACTGTTGCTTCTGGTGTTTCAACCTTAAGGATCAAAGCTCCTTCATGGTTGGCCAACAGGACAATGTGTGAACTTAAGGATTTCATTCTCTCTGCGACAGTACGTATGAGCTTCAGTCCTGGCAACTGAATGCTCACCTGCAGAACACAAAAACAGATCTGAGATCTTAAATTTTATGATCATATGTACAAGAGTAAATTCTTTTGAAATAGAATACTGGGGAAAACAATGTTTAAAAACTCAAAATTTACAAAAACATTAATTTTTATTATATATGCATCGCATAAATATGGCGACCCATGCACTGTTTCAGCAGGCACCAGCAAGCCTAGTGTTGCATATTCAATACAAATCCAATTACTGTAAAGTTTAAATCTGGCCACTGGCACCATAGTAGCAGGAGATTTAAACCTGGTTGATACAATTCAATAAAAGCACACACTTTAGGATTCTGAAGGATTATACCTTACAGGTTAGAGTATAATTACTAGTAATAAATGTGTCATAAAAACAAATGATCATCAAAATTCATATTTTTATTTGTAATTATCAAATAAAAACATTTACGTATTATTAAAGGTTCTACAATATATAAAACTAATCAATCACTAAAATGTATGATGGTAGCAGTCTGGTATATTTAATGATGCTAGTGGTTGTTCCCACAATAATCATGTTACTACTGTTACTATACCACAGCCTCATCTACTTCCCTGAGAATAAAAACAATCATTTTGGCAGCTGTTTTACATGATTCTGAATGGCATCTTAATAGCGTAATTACTCTTATTCTTCTGCGTGCAACATGCCCACTTTTATGTAGACTGAGGAAAATATTTGGACTGAAGATAGATGAAGTGACAGGAAGTTGTAGAAAACTGCATAATGAGGATCTTCATAACTTGTACTCTTCTTCAAGTATAATTAAAATTATCAATTCAAGGAAGATAAGGTGGGCAGGGCACGTAGCACGAATGGAGGAGACGAGGAATGCATATAGGATATTGGTGGGAAAGAGACCACTGGGAAGACCAAGGCATAGGTGGGTGAACAATATTAAAATGGATCTTTGAGCGATAGGATGGGATGGCTCTTGTGAACACGGTAATGAACCTTTGGGTTCCATAAAATGCTGAGAAGGGCTCAGCTCCACGAGTGAGTAAGTAAGTTTGGTATATATGCTGTTATCATGGTATGTTAATTTGATGGAAAACATAAATTGTAAATATTCTGCAAACAAATGGCAATCTATGAATCTGTCCACATGTTACATTACAGACAGGTAATCTGGCACAAATTTATATAATCACTGTCCCCAAGTTATAGTGTATTACTGTTAACTGCTTTGTACAAGGATATTTAGAGCTATGGTACAATCTTCGCAGTAGGGTGCCGCCTTTCATAGTCAGTCAACAGTGGTGAGAGTGAGGATGGAGCAAAATCAAAGAGTGAAGGTTACTGCTCCATTTCCAGTATCTGCTTTACTGTCTCTTAGAATTACACTGAAACCTCGATCTTACACTTTATAAGGGACCACTTAAGAAAACGTAAAACTGGAGAAAGTGTAAAATCAGGGAACTATGAATGTCACAACATAAAGAAAACTGTGTCTTCTTTACACCATAACTTCAGAAAATCATTTAAAATCCACATGTTTGAACACTAACAATGTAAATGTAATTGAAAATATGATGCTTGGCTTATTTTACAATGCTTTATCAACTGCTGTGTTTATACAACATTGGTAAGATCAGACAGTGATAACTGGTGAATGGAAAGGATGTGGAAAGAAGCGGCCATGATGTATTTCAAGGTACTATCCCAGCATTTGCCTGAAATGACTGGCAAATAGGGTACATACCTACTTACACTATTTCTTGAACCAGTCAGTCTTCTGTTCCTTTTCTCCTTTTCACTGTGTATAATTAATTTTCGACTTTTTTTGCAAATTTCTCAGTATCAAATTGATATCTGTACTTTTGGCCTATTCAAATATTGATGTAACACCTGGTTGACACACCAGACTCCACAGACCTCGTAATCACTGTCACATGTTGGGTAGTCCTCAGACTATAATGCAAGATGTTGTAAACTGTGCCAAGATTCCTCTTTATCTTCTATGAGTTTAACTGCACTGTCATCATTGCTGCTGACATGATCAGTCGAGAAACCACACTTCACAAATCAGTTGTTGATTGCAGTAGGTGTTATCAATCTCCAAGGTTTTGCTATTAAGTGCACTGCAGACAGCACATACAGCTTCATATGTGCAGCATCTCAGAGCAGTCCCCAATCTACTGTGGTTGCAGGTATTTGAAATCAGATCTGCTTTCTGTAAAGGCACATGAATGTGTGGATGATTCCCAAATATAAAGGCGGTAGGTGGGTGGTATAGTTAGCTGGGAGAAATAGAACTTTGATGTTGCCAAAAAATGTGGTCTTTGGATGGACAGCACACTGATCATTGTAAAGCATGATTTTGCAATTTTAAGCACCCAGTTTTATAACCAGTCATGTGATGTAATATTCAAATATTTTGGTGGCCATCCAAGAATTTTTATAAGCTTCATGTTTTGTAGGTAGTCTCCTTGAAGCAATGTGCATTTCTACGTGATCCAGTTACTAGAATGACAGTTTATCACTACATCTTCACCGCATGCATGGAGCACAGTAACCAACTGTTCACATTTTGCATCACCAGGAAGAACGTGTCCTTGAAAAGTGAGTGTCTTGCTAGGTTGTAGACTGAAAAATAGAGCAGTCTCATCAGCATTATTATGACATCATTATTATGTCTATTTCTTGCAACAGTTGGTAATTTTCCCAGTCTTCTACACTTTCTGAATCAACGCTCCTACTCTCATCTGATAGATTTCTGTTAGCAATGTTGTGTCTTCTCTTAAATCTGCCTATCCAATCATTGGAAGCTGAGAAGCTGGCTATTTCTAGATAAGAAGAGACATTTAAACCCTTCTCCTGAGGTGCGTGCCATGCAGAGAAGCATTACTCTTGTACATGCTTGAACTAAGCAGCAAGTGCAGATTCCAGTTCCCTCAGTGGCAAACATTTCAATGACTTCCACTTATTGGAGAAAGGTCTGCACTGGATGACAATTTTTTTCAGTTTCTTCATGGTTTGGGCACTGAGAGTCTTAACCATGATGCCTGTTTCAATATGTGCCTCAAGTTCTACTAAAATATTTCTTTCTTCACTTATCATAAGTGATTTGGGTTTTCCTTTATTATGGATATTTCATCACCTTCCTGTGAATTTTGAATTAGCCCATAATAAAATTTGGCCTTTATGAAGTGAAGTCACGTGGGCACAAGCAAATTGAATAATTTAACATGTGTGCATCTTTGTTAAATGTTTCATTTCTGAAAACAAAATGGCCAAGACATTTCAAATTCATGAGATAACAAATGGACATGCTACAGTAATATAACAACATGTCCTTTACAATATGAATTACTATTATATTCCTTTACAAAGAAATATTAAAAGCAAAAAGGTGGATATAAAATTATATTCATTCTTACATCATAGTTTGGAACCACAGGTTCTTGCAGTGCAGTCCATTCTTTACGAGGTATCACAGAAACCGGGATGTCATGGACACAAAAACGGGAATGTGACAATTCAGACTAAAATCAATAAAACATACAAACATCTTATTGCGATCTCTACCATTCCACCTTTGAATTTTGAAGGCATTTCACTTGATTACAGAAGGAAAGAGACCACTAGGAAGACCAAGACATAGGTCGGTGGACAATATTAAAATGGATCTTACAGAGATAGGATGGAGTGGTATGGACTGGATCAATCTGGCTCAGGATAGGGACAAGCGGAGGGCTCTCGTGAACATGGTAATGAACCTTCGGGTTCCATAAAGTGCTAGAAAGTTCTTGAGTAGCTGCGCAACTGGCGGCTTCTCAAAAAGGGCTCAGCTCCATGAAGTTAGTTAGTTTAGTTAGTTCACTTGATAACAAGAATCTGTAAGAGCAAGTTGAGTTCCTTCACCTGAATGAAAAGATACTGCTACTTTAATATAAAGCATCAATGCTTTATTATAGACCATGATTCATAATCACATGACTATACTGTGGCTTCTTTATCGTGTTTATAGTTAACTTATAGCTTAACACCTTGAATGGCAGGATAATCAATGAACAACGAATTGGAAAGAATGCAAATGAAGATGTAATGGTCTATTTGAGGGGTAGTAACTATTCCTGCATATATCTGGAGAGACTGAGGAAAAACCACAAAAAAACCTTGGTCTAGATGGTGTCCCAGCCAAGAATTGCAATAAACGTCTCCAAAATACAAGTCAGAAGCTTTACGTGCTTCAGATGACTTCTGTACTTGATACAGAATTAAGTATCTCACCTCACCAAAACACACTTCATAATAATTGTACAATACAAAAATTGTTTAATATCCCATATATCTGCGTATGTGTCCTCTACTTACCAGCTGTATTTCAAACGTGAGACATGGGGACTTCTTATTTGTGAGTTTCATTTTTACTGATTTAGCTCCATGACTAACTCTGAGTGAGCTCAAAGACTTGGCCATGACATCTACAACGTAAGAAAAATTTATCTTAAATATGTCACATCATACACAAAGAGAAATTCCTGTTCCTTAGCAGGACATGGTTGTGTTCCTTGTAAGTAACACATTACACAGATTCTAAAGGATTGCGATGATAATGTATAATACTAATTACTATTTTTTTGGTCTCTGTCCATCATCAGATATTCTTGAAACTAGAAAAAACAACGTTTTGGAAACCGGATCTGTTTCTGTCCTCAGGCAAGAGGGAGAGGGCACCTACTTTGTTGAGTCCCTTAGAAAGAGCTAACCTCAATCATTAGACAATCTCTGTGTTGTATCCCAGTATTTCAGGGATATTCAGGTTCGCTGAGCAGTGAGCAATTCAATGTATGGGGTTGGGATTAGGTGGAAGGACAACAGCAAGCAGTTGGATTTAACAGTGCTACACTGTTAGAACAAGAGATGCTTGATGACGAACATAGAATTAGGCAGGCACTTTAAATATTCCCTACAAGGGGTGAGGCCGCAGTCCTGCTCGTCTAACCCTTGTGACAACTGGTATCTGACCCTCTGTGTCTTGCCTTCACCTCCAAGCTGCAGTCTGCCCTTGTACCCCAGTCAGTCTGGGTTCTGTCCTTCACACATGTGTGGAAGGGGAGGAGACCACACACACATTTGTTTAGTCTACGCATTGGTTACTTGCTGGTCCACAGCTTGGAAAGAATATTTAAGATGCCCAAAGTATACAAAATACAGTACACAATTTTAAAGTACTCACACTTCCACGTATGCAACACCTGTCAGATTCACTACAGCTATTTAATCACCTATTTAATCTTATTTCCCGCCAAATTACCCTGGTCTTAGCGATTAAATAGCTGTAGTGAATCTAACACAGGTTGTCCAGTTATTTCTGCCCTTTCTGCAGGACCCAACAGAGTAGGTGTCTTCCCCCACACCTGAGGATGGAAAAAGATCCAATTTCTGAAAAGTTGTGTTTTACAGATTGTAGAATACCAGATGATGGACAAAGTCCAAAAACCCAGTAATTCTGAACACATCATATAGCAGCTAGAATTTTAAAGAAGGAATAACACACAAATTGAGAAACTAAAGTTTCCTTGTGTAATTGGGAATAGGGATTTAAATTGCATTCAAAAACTCTACCACAATACCGCAGTGCTTTGACAACTGTGGTTACTGTACAGACTGGCAAGAGTACAGAGTGAATTTTAAAATATTTTTGTATGTTCTCCACTAGTTTCAAGGCAGTAAACAGGTAACAGAGAAGTTAGATATTAGAAGTAAGGATTAGAAAGAAACCATCACTGCTAAGTAAGCCTTTAAAGCAAATGCATACAGACTACAATTACCTGCAAGAGAATGTAAGCTGAACACAGCATATATACTTATGTTTGGTTGGTTGTAAGAAATTCAACATGATTTAAGTATAGCTCAGTTAATATAGCTGTGGGCTACAGCCTGGAAGGCTGAGGAATCAGGATTTGAGTCCCAGCAAAGACAAGAGATTTTCTCTTCTCCACAATATCCAGACTAGCCCTGGGGCCTACGCACCCTCTTATCCAGAGGGTACTGGCAGCTCTTTCTCTGAGTGTAAATCAGCTGGAGCACGAAGCTCACTGCTCACCTGCATCTTATGTGAAGGTTAAGCATGCATGGTACAGCACCTCCACTTCCCTGTATATCTTCATGACATGGCACTTACTTAATTAAGTACTGGGAAAACTTTACTTTTAATCTTAATAGTATGCATCCTGTTGTGTCATAAATAGGGTATATAAATGTGTATAAAAGTATGGCAGTCTACACAACAATATTCTATATTAAAAAAGTAGACACTATTGTATCAACATTTGTTTTTAAATACAGAATATTGTTGTATAGACTGCCATACTTTTATACACATTTATATACCCTAATTACTTTTAGCTATATCTAAGTGATCACATAATTTTATAGTAGTCCACATGTACACACAAGCCTGTCTGTGTAGCTATGGCACTGTCAATGAATGTGGGAATATTATTATTTAAAAACAGTTCCTGAAATTTACATGATGAAGGCAGTGGCCGTCACTATGTAGCAACACAATCAGTAACTCGGACTATAACACATCAAATGGTACGATGACAGTGAATAATGAAGTGGGATGCGGAAGGAAACAGTCAGGGTATAACTGGTTGGATGAACTGAGGAAAACTACAAAAGCCCTCAGCCTGGATAGCTTGTGTCCCTGATGAGATTTGAATGAGACACAAATTGGAAGTGTTTATTGTTACTCAGACGACACAATTCTGGTATAGACACACTAGATGTTTGACATGTATGCCCAAATATATGGTGTGCTTACTGAGTAACAAAAAACATTATCTTACACAGATCATGTAGCTACAGTATAATATTTGTAACAAATCATAAGCGTTACTGCTTGGGATAACTTGCTAAATGAATAAGATTCTATACTATAGATTGCATTTATCATTGTGCTCTGTACATTTACAGTGTGTAATGAACATCTATAACTATTTGCATCACCCCCCCCCATGCAGTTTGAATACTATACAAGTGAAGCTGTACCCTCATCACACTGTTAGTCACCAACCAGTGTCCATGCTTTATTATTTTACAGTTAATTAATAGCACATGCCTGTCTCAAATTCAAGATATATTTCATTTTGATCTTCTGACACTCCAGTCATGCTGTATTCATTAAAAAAGTGTGTCTGTTCCAGTACACTCCAAACCATGGGTTTTCCCACAGTCACATTTTCTTCCACAATGATAAAGTATATGAAGTCCTTTGTGAATCGCACAACACACAACTTTGACAGTCTTGCTAGTGTAACAATTATATCTGAAAAAAATTAATAAAAGAATCTTTAAAATCCAGGATTGACATTTTATTCTATTAGTCTTGACCGAACTGATATAGTAGATGGCCTAATATTCCAAAGAATATGTAATTAGTTGCTAATGTTCCCTCCCTATAAAATTCATACTTGAGCATACAAAAAGCAGTAGTCCTTTACAACACAATCGGTCGTACACTCGTGGCTCATACTCTATTTGACTAGACTGACGAATGCTTTCACAGGTTATGTTCAAACATTATGTAGTTATCAAACTTACTCGCAAACTGCCTCATACACGCGCTTTCTGCTATTTTGCCCCTGAACTTCATGACTGAATTTAAGATGACGAAACATTTATGGAACAGCTTCAAACGAGTCGCTTCATAACGGCCTAACACATGTCCTTCAGCCCTATTTGAATTCACCGAACTAACAAAGCTGACAAACAACAATAACTGACATAACGCACACAGCAGTACAAGGACTGATAGTTCCAATAGATGCGCATCTCAACGTTAAGTGTGGGCAATGCGCCTATTCACGTACTACATCTATCGACATCTAATGGTGAGATGTTGGAACTATTTGAACGAGTAAACTCTAACGAGGGCACGCCAAAGAAACTGGCAACTACAACGCAACCGCAATTTCCGAGAAGAGTCGCCGATCACTCACTGAGCTGAGCACTTCTTGGGAAGACGCCAATTTTGAAGCTACTTAAGAACTTCCCCGAATTTTATGGAACGCGAAGGTTCATTACCGTGTTCACAAGAGCCCTCCACAGAACCAGATCCTGAGCCAGATCAATCGAATCCACACCATTCCATCCTCTCTCTCCAAGATCCAGTTTAATAATATCTACTCATTTACGTCTTGTTCTTTCACGTGTTCGCTCTCCTTCTGACTTTCTCACCAACAGCCTATATGCATTCCTCTTTTCCCCATTCGTGCTACATGCCCTGTCCATCTCATCCTCCTTGACTTGATCATTCTAATTATCATTGGAGAAGAGTACAAGTTATGGAGCTCCTCATTGTGCAGTTCTCTCCAACCTCCTGTCACTTCATGTTTCTTCAGTCCAGATTATCTCCTCAACACCCTGTTCTCAAACATCCTTAGTCTATGTTCCTCCCTTAATGTCAGAGACCAAGTTCCACACCCATACATCACCAGAGGCAAAATTATATATATGGATAAATACCGTCTTAAGTGCAACAAATTTTATTGTAGTTTTTACTTCTTTTCCTCCTCCACACTACATGTTTCGGCCCTAAATGGCCATCATCTGGTGTGTATCACTCACGTAGCTGTTACACTGCTTGTTAAAATTTAAAATTACCAGTCTTTCTAATTGTATAAAATCTTTGTTTATCTACACGCGTCGATTTGATTTTTAAATTAGCACTTTTTAAAACTTAATTCAAGTTAAAATGTCTATAAGATCTCTGTTCTTTCTTTTTCAAATTTTTTGTTGT